GGGGGGGGGATGCGAGTATGGGAATTGATTGATTTATAGTCTTTTGGTCTATTCTTCTTGTTGGCATTGTGTTCGTGGGTCTGAGCGAAGACCCGGAGAAAAAGGCCGGAAGTTCCTTTGAAAGGAATTAATTGTTCTCCCTGATATTTTTTTCCCAAGAATATATGCATTGTGTACATTTTAAATGAGGTTCACATGTATGTGAGGGCTGCCTCATGTTTCAAAGACCTTGTCACTGCCAATCTGAAACCAATTTTTGCTTGTTTGTTTGCATATTCAGTTGACCTGTTGGGTCATCATGCCTACGATGATGATGATGATGATGATGGAGGATGTTTTTCGGGCACCTGTTTTTTCAAGTAATACTCCAAAGTAATTTACTGTTGTAATATATACAAATGTTTATGTCTCAGTGTATGTCTGTCTACTTTAGTGTCATGTGCTTATTTGTTTGTTTGTTTGTTTGTTTCCCCATACGTATGCTTGTTGAGGACACATATGCCTGTTGCTTTCCTGCTATTGTTGTCAATTAAATTAGTTGCTGAGCCTCAGGACGAAATATCAAAAACTCAGTGTAGCGTCGTTCATATCTTACTGTTCTCCATCCACCTCACAATAGGAAAAGGTCCTCTTATTTCTCCATCTACTGTGGTCTGTTGTGGTGGCAGTCATTGAATTTTTTTCTTCCTCTTCGTTAATGTACATTCTACCGTTAAATTGGAATGAAATTCAAACTTGTAGGTTTTGTTTTTTTGTTAATGCGAAAGTTTTCGTAGTCTGTAAAATGTGTCATATTTCAGTGAGGTATTGATAACTGTGGTAATGTCTCTCTCCATTAAAAAATACAGTACTTCTTAACTTTGCAATTATTAAATTAAATGTCAGTGGCATAAATAGTTTGTCAGTTTTTATGCATGTTTAGATAGAAAATGAACTTAAAGTACTTTAGGCATACATTATTAGAAAAGCTACAAAATTGTTTAATGTGAAAAATGCTTTCAGTGGGAAATGTGTGCCAATTTTATGGATAAATCTGGAAATTTGGATGTTTGAGGTTGTCTGCATTTTGCCAGACTTTTTAAAATACAATATGTATTGGGCAGTATGAATCATGAGTTTATAGTCCCCGTGCATACATATTTCCATTGGGTCTGGAATATTTTTTTTCATAGCCACTTGGCACCTCAGATGTGTGCCATTTTAATGGAGATTCTGAGAAAGTTTTGCCCATGATTGCCCTCAGTCATTTTCCTCTTACCTGCTTTCTCGGTGCAAGAAGTTAAAAAATTTGTTTCATTGTGGTGAAGTAGACACTAGTCAAAATAGTGAAATAGAAGCAACCATAATTTTTCTGCCCGTCAGGCAATTTTTGTTGGGAGTATTTTTTTTGCTTAACATTTTTTACATTAATCTAAAAATACATTTCTGTGTGGATTTTATGGAAAAATGTTGACAGCAGGCACAAAACAAAGTAAATTTACAGTTTCCAAGAATACTCAAGCTTCGGAAGTCACCAAACTTTAGCGGCCATTTTCTCGCTAATCTTACCTCTGAACAAAATCTACACAGTTACGTCTTGTGTGTGTCACAGAGTGGAAAAGCAAGCTCCAGACAGTGGATGGTTGAAGTGTATGCCACTGGTAGGTCCTTCAATGTCTTTCAGATACAAGCACAGCACCTGTCAGCGATTTTGACTATCGTCTCAGCAAGCTCTAAATAACACCATGTGTCCGCATGCTTCTCTTTTCTTTGACAAAGAAACTGTTCGCAAGCTATTCTGTGGTTGTAAGCCCTCAAAGCAAATTTTCAGGTGAGAGAAAATTTTATTTCCTTCCTCTAACAATTGAACCAACATTATTTCTCTTTTCTTGCCTTTTTCAACATTTAGAATTGGAATTTCAACAAAATATTTCTCCAGAACTTGCAACAGATACCATAGATTAAGCAGCTGCAATCAGAAAAGTTTCAAAATTTTGAACTTGTGACTACCCTTGATTGACAAAGTTCTATCTGCTCAGTACCTAGTTTTGAGAAGTTTGATGTAAAAAATGTTGAGTTTCACATGTCAAACTTTTTCAAGAGCAATTCTTTGAATATCTTGATAACGACTCTGAATAATCATACGATTTTGATAGAACATTTGGTTTCTGACCTCATGATCTAAGTAACTCAAAACGGTAAAAAATGTGAGATAGAACTTTGTAATTCTGAGGTAGCAACAATGGCTGACTGAGGAAACAATTCATAGCTGGCTGGTGCTCCTCCTTGTGTTTGTAAACAGAAGCATATATGGTCTCTTTTAAGGACAAGTGGGCTTACCCAGATTTCGCGGTTTCCGAAAATCTTGACCTACACCAAAAGTGGGCATTGCCCTACTTATCGGAGAAGTTTGGTTTCATTGGTGTGTATATTTGTTTGTTCAAAGAGAAAACTCTCCTTGTCTTTGAAAGAAACTGAACAAAGGTCGAAAAACTTTTACCTTCGATTTTCTCAAAACGACATTTTTCGGGACAGCCCCCTTGTGCTTAAAAGCAACCATATGTCTTTATGGGCCTACAGTATTTGCAATATTTTGACCAAGTGGCTCCCTTTCCAGCCATCCCTTCCTCCACCCTCACTCTTAGTTCTTTGTTTAGACTGAAGGACTGCTTTTGCTTCTGGAGGCGTGCCACCTCTGAAAAGCTTTAGTTTAGAAACTTCCGTGTCCATATTAAAAAGACACCTTTGGAAAATCCAGGTTAAATGTACCAGTAAAAAATATTCAGGAAATTGAAGTACAATTGCCTTCTTAGAAATCTTTTTTTTTGTCCTCTGGAAATCCCTGGCAAAAGGTTATGTGTGGCAGTGCTTAAGTTGCTAGTTTTCCCCACTACTAAATCACATACATAGTCATTCAGACTTGCATAAGTTTCTTCTTGGTCAAAATGTTGAATGTCTTTAACACTATTCCTAGTGTGGCAAAGTGACTGACAACTTCAGAATCACGCCATAAATCTCTGGACGTATAAAAATGCAGCTTTTGTGTGTTACAACAAGTCTTTTGGTGTTTCAATATAAATGACAAAAATCAAATTGTTGGAATGTGATACTTGCGTTCCATGGCTGTACTTTACGAGGAAAAGGCTTCGTGTTAATGCTATCATTGTTAAAGATCATTGTTTCACACCGTTGTTTCACCCAGTTCTACATCGTGATCTATACAACACAACTTTTATGCATTTATGTAAATGTGAGTTCCCTTTTTTGATCCAACTGTAAAGACTCTGTACTGTGAAGATTTTTAAAAAAGAGAAGAGGAATACTCTATCCCAGAACATGTGTTTTTGCCCTGTCTTGAGGGAGATGTGTTTTTTCCCTCTTTGTCATTTTGTTTCTCTTTTGTATTTTATCAACATATTGTTTGCACTCGCGAGTTATGTCTCTCTCTCCTCTCCTACTGCTTCAGTAGAATTTTAGAGAAAAAAAAGAACACGCCAATGCAAGCTCATCGTCTTTGCTTGATGCCTGCAGTTGTGTTTCTTTGTTGAGGCGCTTTCAGTGGATCATTGAAAAAGGATGTGGTGGCTCTAGACGTTTTGTTGTATCACACTATGCACTGGTACGCTAAGTCACTGTGTCACAGGGTATGGCTGATGGTTTTTTTTGTCTCCCTCTATCTATGCCTGTTTTTGGCACTGGTCAGCTCGTGTAATGAGGCTTTTTAAAAAATGAAATCCATGGAGAAATCTGTCATCCCCCGGGGCAGTGCCACTGACTAGTGTCTTTAGGCCATTCTCAAAGGGGGGACATTTTTCGTTCAAGCACAGTAGAATTGTAAATGGGCTGATTCATCATGTCACGCTAATAACTGTGCCTGATCTGCAACAGGGAACTGCTGCTTTTTCTTTCCTAATCCTTACTATTGTCTTTTCCTCTACTTCTTTTGTATGTTTGTCACACTCTTGTGACCCGCTATTTCCGGGGTGCCTTGATAGTGGAAGCTGACTGTGTGCTGTTGAAGCTAGAGAGGTGAACAGAGTAAGTCTGATTCCCTGTAAGGACTTCTCTGTTGACACCCACC